TATCTATCAATAAAAATTACGTAATGTAAATTGACGATCTATAACCTTATTTATAATGTGATATTTGATGTGATCATTGAGTGTATTAGTACACGTTATACTATAGATGAACCAAAAATGATGCTATAAGTAGTGAGCCTTAATTTGTATATATCAACTAAAACCTAGATCAGCAAAGTGTGAGTACAGAAAGCTCTAGCAGATTAATATAAAAAAATAGAATAAAATAAAATAATAATAAAGAAAATTATCTCAAAGATAAATATATTCTAAGTTAGATATCTGAAAATAAAAGGTATATAATATCCTTACTTAGTTAATAGGATAATATACACTTCTCTGCTAGTGATCACTGAAATTTTCAAAATTATATATAATTGATGGTTATGACTTATGTCATACAATAATTTTTTTTAGGACAAATCTCTTACTATAAATATACAAATTTTTTTTACAGTTGCATCAGATGCCAATCTATTCGACCATTTTTTTTTTTAGAAATTTTTTTTTTATAATGAAAGAAAAGAAACAACTTAACAAGAAACAACGTGTTTAAATTGTTGATACTTGGCAGAGTGGTATGCGGCTAGCAAAGATCGCACAAACCTTAAACTTACCAAAAAGCACTGTCTATGATATTGTTTCCTATTACAAAAAAAATAGAAAAATAATATCAATTCCTCACCCTAGGGCATCCTTTAAAATAACTAACTGTGGTTTCTGTCACTTTATATACCTTTTGAAAGAAGATAGAAAAATTAATTTGAATATTTTAACAAATAAATTTGTTGAATTAATATCCTTTGAAATGTCTACACATACTATACAATGCTACCTTCATGAAGAAGAGTTTTATAGCCAAGTTAGAAAGAAAAAACTGTTCATGGATAAAGCCTCTCGCTTGTATTATTTGGGATGGGCTAAAAATAGAAAATATTGGAATAGAGGTGGAGAAACATTGTTTAGAGTAACGAAGTGTTTAAAGATGATAGTCATATGTTTGTTTGGAGAAAACTAAAAGAAAAATACGATATTGAATATTTGGTTACTATGTTTAGGTCAGAAAGAAAAGATGTAATGGTTTGGGGGTGCTTTAGTTACTATGGTCCTAGACCATTGGTTTGGGTTTTGGGTAGAATGAATTTGAAAGACTATACTGAGGTTCTTTACAATTGTTTATTACCTTTTTTAAGAGTTTTAGAAGATATTGTTGAAGAAAAAAACTATCTATTCCAAGATAACAATACAAAAATTCATACTTCAACTTTCACCATGAATTAGTTCGAAGAAAATGAGATCAATTAACTTTCCTGATCATTGTATAGTCCCAACCTCAATCCTATTGTATATCTTTAGGATAACTTGGAGCATAGGGTTCATAAACATATTTTTCTGCCAAGCAATGAGTCAGAACTATTCACTTTGCTGCAGGAGGAATGATTTAATCTTGATGGTTCAATTTTTAAATTCTTGTGAAAAGTATATCTCATCATATTTGTGCTATAATTAATGCTAATAAATACTCTACGAGGTATTAATATCTGTAAATAAAAGTTTTTTATTTTTATTATTAAATAAAAACAAATTAACCCAAATTATTAAGTGGGTTGTTGAGAAATTGTAGTTATAAAAACTTGTAAAAAAAATAATCGACATTGTGTAATTATAAAATTCTGGTGATCACTGGCAGGGGAGTGTACATAGATGCAAAAGGTTTAAATAGATAATCCTCTAGTCAAATTATAGATATATCATCTAGTGTAAAACTTAGTAATAAATAAGCTATTTAAATAGGTAACCAAAAGTTATACATGTAACTAGTTATATCTTTAAATATATACAGTATATGATATAAAATATATACTGTAAAGTTAAAACTATAATTGAATAAAAAGAGATAATCAAGAGGTCACCTTAATACCAAAAAAAAAATTAATATTTATATTACAGATCATAATGAAATCAGATTAAAATAAAATAAAAATTTCTATTTGATCTCCTAAAACCCACTTATACTTGTTTATTATAAAACCTGCTTCTAAACCCTAATCTTAAACCTAAAAAAATGCTAAAAAAATATACACCAAAAATTTGTATTTTTCAGTGACTTGTCTATTTTACACTATTTCTCATTTTATTTTAATCTGATTTCATTTTAATCTGCCACATTTAATATTTAATTTCATTTTCTTCATATTAATTTGATATATATATATATAAAGAATATTTATAATCTAAGCATTTAAAGCTCTAAGTTTGCATTAATTTATAAGCAACAATAAAGAATATTAATTTATGCATTTAAAATAAGCTATTAAAGTTCATGAATATTCCTCAAAGTTTTAAAAAATTTGGCGCAACTTTTTGCAATAGATGTCTTGAAATTTTTTTAAAGATTCTCGACAATTATCTAACTAAATTTAATGAACAATTTTTATTTGAATTCTACAGATTTTGTAGAATTCGAATAAAAAAAATTTTCATCAGTTTTAGGTAGGTGGTCTTCGCTCAAAGTTTAAAAAATTCTAGTGCAGCTTCTATTGTGAAATTTTTTTAAAAACTTTGAGCGAAGATATCTCGACAACAGCTTGACTAAATCTAATGAAGACTCGTAGAATTCAGATAAAAAAATTTTCACAATTTTAGTCAGGTGGTTGTCGAGATATCTTTGCTCAAAATTTTAAAAAAAATTTTGGCACAGCTTCTATTGTGATGGGCGTTGTGAATTTTTTAAAAACTTTGAGCGAAGATATCTTGGCAACCACCTAACTAATTTTCTTTTTTTATTCGAAATCTAAAGATTTGTATAATTCAGATAAGCCAAGTGGTTGTCGAGATATCTTCGCTCAAAAGTTTTAAAAAATTTTGGCGCAACTTTTTATTTTAAAAACTTTGAGCAAAGATATCTCGACAATCACCTAATTAAATGAAATTTTTTTTAAACGAATTCTGCAAACTTTTATAATTTAAATAAAAAATTTTCATCAAAGCTGGTCGGGTGGTTGTCAAGATATCTTCGTTCAAGGTTTTAAAAAAAATTTTGGCGCTGCTTCTATTGTGTCTAATATTGGACCTAGCTGCAGTAGATTCTTGATTTTGATCTGCTAAGAGCGACGATCAAAAGTTTAAGCCAAAGTTGCTTAAAATTTTAACTAATGAAACAACATAAGTGAAAAATGTTCCTGGGCAAATTTTACCTGAAAAAGTTAAAAAGTTAATCCCGGCCAAAAATTATGTAAACAATTATGTAATGCGGGCCAAAATTTTGTAAATCACGGCCATTAGCAAATCAAAATCGAGAATCCGCCGTGACAAGGTCTTTTCGTTGCAATAAACGTTTGAATTTAAAAACTTTAAGCGAAGATATATCGACAACCACCTGACCAAATTTGAAAAAAAATTTTATCTAAATTTTACGAGTCTGTAGAATTCGAATAAAAAACAATTTGTTAAATTGATAAGGTAGTTATTATGCTAGCTTCAGTAAAGACCCTGGACGTCAATTTAATAGTTAACCCGCTTTAGCGACCCCAAAAATCAGTAATTAGAACTCTGCTGTCATTTATTAAAACATTCTTGGAATGCTTATATAAGACTTTGAGACTATTATTAATTCAATTTAGAGAAGAAATTAGAGCATTAAAGAATGAACTTACCAAACCTCGATGAATTATTTTTTATTGTGTAGATAGTTTAATCCGAGTGTAATTTCTTTTGTAAGCCGAATAAGATCAGCCCATAAAATTTTGTAAATACCATCTTGTATTTTGCTTCGTAAATATTCTCTTAGATTACCATCAGTGGCATACTGTAACACCAACATAAAATTATTCATCTCTTTTCCAGGAAAACGACCATGTAACCCATTGAACTCTACAAAATAAATGAATAAATAAATAAATAAAGATCCATGTTTATTAAAATGGATTATCAGATACCTAGAATAATCAAATCTTCATGACCTCGGATTGTCATTTCCTAACAAAGAAACAACATTCATATATTCAATTGTAAAGTTCACACCTCTACAAATTCCATGGAACTTTACAATATTATGATGGTCAACTACATAAAGACATTTAAGATATATGTAATTGTAAAAAATAATGAGAATTTAGATTCTTAATATTGGACAAGTTAGGTGCATTACCTCATGCTTGAGTCGTTCGAACGTTTTGTTGTCGAACCTCAGATTATTGATTAGACTCTTTAATGCATATTTTGTAAAGTGGCAGAATACACGACTACTAGCTACCCTCGCCAATGCGTTCGCAGATACTAAATTGTGAGTAATTAAAGCTTTTTATGGTGTATTTTTTCAAATAGGACTCTAATTCTACCGAATTTTCAGGTACTAACATTTAAGGTGTTAATATGTAATATGATTATGGAATTAAATTTATTAACATGATAGCTCGCATGCTTTATCCAATGTAATTACGGACATGAGTGCTATTCAAACAAAAGGACCTTTAAGAGGTAAATCGCGAGACTAATATAGTTTTTCTATAGGATTGGAATGCAGCTAACTTACAGTATAATAAAGTTTTTTTTACACTAAGTAAATCTTCCTTGGATTTCTAACAAATCATGTAGAGCAAGTGATTCTGGTTCTAATAGTGGTAGAATTATTAAAATCGTTTCAATATCGCAAGTGATTTACATTTCTCTTTCATATGAAAGTAATAGTAATTCGCCGATTTTTTTATAAAAAAAGGTGTGGATCGTAACTCCATGGTGCAAATCATTTAAAGGCATCCAAAACTGTAACCCTCAATGAATATTTCTCCATAAAGGTATCCAAAACTGTAACCCTTAATGAATATTTGGAAATTCGCAAAAATGAAAGTAACTTTATAATCTTAGATAAGGCCTACAAGGTTACGCTTTTTTTGAGAAATTTCATTGTTCTTCGAGGAGATACTATTTTTTTTTAAAAAAAAACATAACGGAGTTTTCAAAGGCTAATAACGACAAGGTGCTATTTGATTGGTTGCAGGGACCGGAAAATTTTGGATTTTATTTATTTCAAATCCTATACAGTAAATAAAATTCAAAGTTTTCCGGGTCCCTGGTTGGTTCTCATCGACTCAGATTTTTTACGTTCACCTCCGATATGCCACCAAAAACTTGAATAGCTATTGTTAGTATAGTGAACGACTTGGTTGTTTGTGGGTTACCTTTGAAAATTAAAGATCTATAATTTTCAGAGTTCTGATTCGACAAAATTTTCGTACGTACGTATCTAACGGTTATTCATATTTCCAAATAATATCGCATGCATCACAGAAAACATATCCATATCGATATGCAGTGATGTACATTGGACAAAATTGGATATTTGGACACCTTTACATTAGACATCCAATTCAACGTCCAACCATGATTTTTGACATTAGCAATATTTGCAATTAGATCTTGGACGCCTAATGTCCAGCCAAAAACATTGGATTTTGTACGTCCAATGTCCAATTGGAACCATTGGACCATTGAATATGACAACACTGTCCATATCGATATGTTAATAGGTCAAGGATCATTGCCTTGAATGGGGGATGGCTAAAACCGTGTCCGGTGAGGGGTACTTTTTTTGATGCATTTTTGGTAAGTGGTTTATAAAATACTGAAATATCAAGAATACGATTTATGCGATATGTAGATCAATATGTATGTAAAGATATGCAGTATGTATTAGGTTTTAAAACTTTGTGGAGATATTATTTGTACGTACAGTACGCACGTATGTACGTATGTACGCGTCTGTATAACAGTATAGGCTTGACAACTAAGTTTGCCCGATTTAGTGTTGGAAACCAACGTTCTGTATTGTTATAGACGACTGATAATTTTTTTGCTGTGATATTTAAATTAGAATCTGGCTATAGAGCTATCCAAGTTATGAATTATTATCTCAATATCGATATGGGTTGTAAATTTAGGGTCGGATATATTATATAGCTATTTTATTAGTACTGTATATTCGTTATACTGTAAGTCTTAAAAATATATTAAAGATTTGGTACAGTACTTCACGTTCAAAATTAGCTATCCATAGTTAATTGTGATAACTTTAGATGCATTTATTATGAACTATAAATTATCTTTAATTGTCAAAACTGTTTAAAGAATGTAGATAGATGTAATGTTGAAGTTTTTTTTTAAAATTGATATCATGTAAAAAGAAAGTATTAATTGAAGAAAGAATCTATTAATTTTAACACAAAGTTATATCAATTTTAAAACAATCTTTTTCGAGAATACATCTATTAAATAAATTGCCGAATTTTAATAAGTTACAAAAAAGTGCAAAATCAGTTAGAAAAGAAAGAATGAAAAAAAGAATGAAAGAATGAATGAAAGAATGAATGAAAGAATGAAATGTTATCATAACAAAAAAAAAGTGCAAAAAAAGATTTATATCTACAAAGATACAAAGTCTATGAATATTTATAATATGTATAAAAGTACAAGAAATACAATATAACCATTCAATATCATTGTGATGATTTATGTACCACCAAAAAATGAGGCCAGAGACAATGTTGATGCCCGTTTTTCACTTCTTGGACTTCTTGGCCTTAGAGTTGGCGATGTTGGGGAAAGATCATCGTTATAACCATTTACCAAATGTCTTAATCCATCTAATTGATTTCCCAAGGATTCCCTAACTTCCTCACTTTGGGCCAATTTCATTTTTACATTTATTAACATTTTCTCCAATTCATCAATTCTTTTTGCAGTATCACATTCTCCATTACATGTTGTAACAATTTGAAATTCTTCATTTTCCATAGCTTGGTTTTGTGGTAATGAATATATCGATGATATTGACTGTGACTCACTATCCCTTCTTCTTGATGAAATTGACGCGTCATCTACGTTTTCAACGATAAATTCAAATAATGTACTATGTTTAATAGTGGGTGCATCTTGTAATGTATTTTTATTTGATCCTTTTTGTTTCAATTGCTCCACTTCTTTTTTTAGTTTCTCGACTTCTTTGATTAATTTTCCATTTTGAACTTTAATATCTCTGGCTTCTTTTATTTCAAATTCCATAGAATTTTTTTCATATACTGCTTGTGCTGCTTCTTCATCAAGTCGTTCAATTTCTACTAATAGTGAGATATTTTTTTCTTGTAATAGAATATGTTCTTGTTTAGATAATTGTAAGGCACTCTCTAAATCTTCATTACGTTTAAGTAACTCTTCATTCTCTTGTACTAAATCGAATTTTTGCATTTTAACTTTAATAAGTTCTTCAGTAAGAGCCGAAATGTTCGGACTTTGCTCTTCGCGTTCATCTGTCAAGTCAATTGTATAAAATTCGGAAGAATTTGGTGTTGGTGGTGTGGTATTTAAATGATTGTTATTTATTGATTGAATGGAAGAAATTGATGATCATGATGAAGTCGCCGAGGATAAAGCACGTGACTTAGGTATGAATGTAGAAACTAACTGTTGTGCTCTTGTCAGCATATCTGTATCTGAATCTGATACTGTCATTTTGTGTGACATTGTATCAGTTGATGGACGAGGCGTTAGTTCAGAATCTTCTAACCGAGATATATCACTTAAACTTATAGTTGTAGAATCGATTGAAAATACTACAGAATTTGCAGATAATCGTTTGTTCTCTTTTTCAACACCCCTTAACCGTGATTTTAACCCTTCAACCTCTGTCACCAAATCCATTTTTTCCATCTTTATGCAAACTAATTGTTCAAGAACATCTGCGTGCTCCTTTTGAAGTTGGGATAATGCCGTCACTAAATCTTCAATTTGTGTATGTAAAAGTCCTGTGTTATTGCTATCAAACGAAGCGGTCGTAGGTGTCGAAGATACTATTGAATCATTGTCTGAGGAAAGTGATACATCATTGGATACACTTGTAGCTGGTACATCATTGGATATATTTGTAACTGATTGTAAAGAGGCGACAGATTGCTTGGAACTTGGAAGTGCTGTAAATGACCACCTATAATTGGGTTTTTCACGTTTTTGTGGTTTCTTAACTTCTTCTTTCTTTTCTTTTTTGGGAGCAGCAAATCTTCCATTGAATCGAACAGCAACTAATTTTTCGGATCGTTTCTTTTGATCTTCTAATTCTTTCACATAACTCTTAGAAAGTTGATCTAATTTTGCTTTTGTTATTACTGAACTTAATGCCATAGCATCCTTAATGAGTCCAGTTGGTTTATTATCGTAGGCCTCATATAATCGAGATGTGAGAAAATCCAAAAGATCTTCAAACTCTTCATACGAGAGTAAATTGGATTCATTTTTCTTCAATAATGCAATTGCTACACGCATAATTGTCTCAGGTGCACCTTCAGCAAATACTATATCATAAATACGAAGTACTAATGGCAAAGGGTAAGTGTAAGCAAAGAGTGATAAAAACCATTGCGAAGCAAACATAGCAGGATGTATAGCATGGTGTTGAAAGTGTTCATGAAGTTTTGGAAGAATTTGTGCGAGAAGTGCTGAGAATTGATAAAGGCGGAGTTGAAGTCCCTCCATGTTGAGTGTAAACATAGTCCTCATGTCATACGTTTCCATTAAGCTATATTGCAAAAATATGATGTAAGACTCGTGATAATCGATAATATTTATATTTAATTAGATATTTATGTTTTTAAAATGATAATGCTTACCGAACAAATACACAAAATGCTTGTGCCTCAGTCATCTATTTTTTAAAAATAAAAAAATTGTCGCGCATATAAATATGGATTACGTGTAGCAATAAAAAAAATTAGCATTATGATGCGAATGCTTACGTTCATCAACATCGGACCAACTAAAAACCCAAGCCCTTGACAATATCCGACCAACGGATCATACAAACTATATGCCTTTAATATATTCCATAAACCAGTCTGCCCTTTTCCATTTTCTTCTTTGAACATATCTATATGTGGAAACGTTCGTGCCAAATCACGTTCAATGATTTTATCATAAGGTGAAGATTCGGATAATAATTGGGAATACATTGTTTCTAGATAAGTTGAAGAAGCCTGACACATTGATTGCCAAACCAACCCTCTTAACTTTGGAGGTACACCAGATTGTAATTTTGCTGTAAGAAGTTCTGGAAGTTTTGTGGCCACAGAAGTATAATCTTGAATCAATGCAGACCAAAAATCCCAATCGGTGATCTTTTCATTTGGAAGTAACTCATCTCCTTCGATAGCTGGATTTGTACTATCATCTATGAGTGATTGTATGGTCTCCAAATTAGCTTTAAGACCATTGGATTGAATGCACACTGATTTTGGATCATTATCCAAAAGTTGATTTTGTCGTTCAATACGAGCTAAAATGAATTCAACCGAATTCTATATATTCAAGAAACAAGATAAATAAATGATTTAAATCAATGATAAATCAATGATAAATGAAAAGATATAAAATAAAAGATATATCAAGTAACTTACCTGTTTAGGCAATAGAGAATTCTGCTCTTCCAATTTAGCGAGCAAGTCTCTATCAAGTTCACCTTTTGGTAAAGCACCAAGAACTGCACTAGTTTTTCCAATATATTTTTTTACATCCTTCCAGTGATTTTGTTTGGGAGTAATTGATGTGAATGATGAATGTGCTTGTTTTTTTGAATCTTCAGGATTTAAATCATTACCAAGACTATCTGATTTGACCTGAGAAAAGTCAGAATTAAGTAATTCTATATTTTCTCGTGTTGCAGTCGCTAATCCAGAATTGTCAGAACGCGAAGATAATATTGTTGAACTTTGATCATTATCACTATTTTTTGGTTTGAAAACTAAGTTTAGATTTGCAGGAGCACCTGGTCTTCGTTTTAATAAATTTTCCGTACCCCCTGATTCATGATTATTTATTTGTGAATTTTCAATTTTAATCGGTTTGTCCAAATTATCATTTGAAATTGAAACTTGAGTGTCGTTTGTACTAAGAATAGCTTTGGTATTTGTTGAAAATTTGGTATCCAGCCAAATAATTTCATCATTAATTAAAGTTGCATTATTTGCTTGAACTTCCGAAGCATTTTCGATGGAAAGGCATTCAGACTCATTAATTTCATGTTTTTCGACTTTATCAGAGGTTGAGTCAAGTGGTAAGTCACCTGGACGTAATACTGTAATTTCTTCTCTACTATCAAATGATATTTCCGATTGGAGTGAACTTTTTCGCATTGCTGATAATGTTTTATTCTTATTTTACATACAGAAGTGCGAGCGAAATTTATGAAAGAAAGGCGGAGTTTCTGAGTTTAGCTGAGTTCGGTTGTACTGGGAAAAAATATGAATTAAATTCTGTAATTAACCACTACACGTTTTTACAGTTTAATTGGATAAATTGTTAATTAATTTGATGATCTTATAAACTGAGATACAAACAATGACCAAATTTAGAATCCAAGATAATTGTCGTACTGCCATGCATTTCCTATTTGTGTGAAATTTATGCTATGTAACAGATTCTAATAAATTCTTATGTGCGATACTCTAATGGATTGGCTCGTGAATTTTATTATTGTTAATGTTTTTTAGGTCGTGCTAAAGTAATAACAACAATAATAACTGTCAATAATCATACCTTACCTTTTCGATAACCGTTTATTAAGTCGGAAGAGCCGGAAGATTTTCTAAATTTAGCTATATTACATGCATATTTTTCAGCCTTCAGGAGGATAATTTTATAGAATAGGAAACGTTTCAGAATATGTTTGAAATCTGGGTTATGATAAACATTTATTACGCATTTGAAAATCAATTTATTATTATGTATTATTATTAATGTTTTAGATTTTCTAGATTAATAAAGGAGCCGACAATGTCATCGAGAATCATAATCATAAAAGTGTTTTTTCAAAAGTCTAAAATAGTCTAAAATAATCTAAAATAATGATTTCAAGTAATCTACGTCATATAATCACATGATTGTTCTAATCACTGAATTAGAATCGTTGAATAAGATTTACATCATTGAATGATGACCACATAATGCTAGGCACAGGGAAAAAAATTAAGCATGCCAATCAAGGGGACGATGTAAGGGGCTAACGTTAAATAGAATATGATATTATGATATCTACCGTACTGCGGATGTCCTTATGCCAAGAAAATCTCTCCGGCCAAGAAACTACTTTGGGTACGTATATTATTTATATCAGATATATTGTATTTAAAACAACTATCATAACTGTTTTAAGCTACATTGTTTTAGTCTGTTGGTTAAACTAACCGACTAAGACATTGGCTACGTAATTTGTTTACTTGGAATATTCCAAAATATTCGATATTTGCATTTTAGGTCCGTTCATTCATTGTCCGAGGTATCATTGTTGCATAAACTATTATTGGCTTAACCACATGTTTATAAATAATCCATCGTTGTTGGTAGGACGTCAGTCAGTAGAAAAACCGGTATACCATTACCTCCGCTTTAGACGTCCCCCTAATACAGTAATAGGTGTGACGGCTGATGCTGAAGTTTGGCTGATGTTGAAGCTAAAAAATCTG